ATACTATGTATGTATGTATATTATATGTATCCCTATATATTTATTTTCCCTCATCGCACACACAAACGCACACAAGCCTACGCGACAATGCACAAATACATTCACATACACACAGCAACACACACACACACACACACACACACACAGGCGCGCGCATGTGCAATGATGGCTTATATTATAACTCAACTGCCCCCTGTATCATAAACTGAACCATGTTATAGTAGTTCAGGGGAGGCTGAAAACCAGCGCGGCCTTCAGTGACAAGCTGGAGGCCGCATCAGCTGAGCCTTTTCCTTTTGACCAAGAGTTTGTATTTTTATTTTTATTTCATTAATAATTGTAAGTTATGTTCCTTTAATTTTCTTTTTGGTCAATAAATAGTGTTTTATTTTTATTTATTTTTTATTTTTTTAAGTGCTTTAACCTTTTAACTGCCGTTTTTATAAACAGTTATATAGTTATGCAAAACTGTTGCGAATTATGAAGCAGGAAAACTTGAATACGGTGATTTGTGTCTAAACGCTTTTTATACGCTTAGCCTTGGTTACCACAGATAAACAAAACATTACAAAGATATTTAATAACGTAAGAATCATACGAAGAACATTTTAGAGCAAATAAATTTGATTTATGATACGCTATATGATATGGCAGCGTCGGTGGCTCAGTGGTTTAACCACTTGACTTGTAATCTACAGGTCTTGGGTTCGAATCCCGCCGTACCAATGTGATTTTCGAATTTTCTAATGTATATAATTTACCCGACGTTCTTACGGTGAAGGAAAACATCGAGATGCCTGCACATATCGGCGATGAAATTCAAAGATATGTGTGAAGTCAACCCGCAGTGCAGCGTGGTTGACTATGGCCTAGTCACCCTAACTTTAGGGTAAGCTCTGAGCCCCTCGGTGGGGACATATAGTGAGCTGGTGATGATGATGGTATGATATGACTCTCAAACCCCCTTAAAGTAGAGGGGAACATTTACAAGGCCGTCAAGACCTGCCATGATGTATGGATCTGAATGTTGGGCAGTAAAAGGGACGGATGAAAGGAGACTACATGTGGCAGATATGAGAATGTTAAGATGGATGTAACATATGTGATAATACGAAATGAGTATATTAGAGGAAGTGAGAGTAGCACCAGTGGTAGAAGGTAAGGAGTAAAAGGTTAGCATGGGGGCATGTTATGAGGGATGAATCGCATGTACAAGGAGAACGTTATGAGTGTGGTACACCGGTAGAGGTAGACAGAAAGAGATGGATGTATTGTGTGAAAGGTGACATGATCAAGGAGTGATGACAGATGACGTATGATAGAGTTTGGAGGACAAAACCCATTGGCCCTACGGGAGTAGGAAAAGGAGGAAAAATTGGATGAATGTTAGTAGCCTCAACTGTTCAACGGATATCAGTGTTGACACATGTAGAACATAGCAAAGAAATAGGCTACTTACTAAAGGCCTGTCCCGCCAAATTGTAAATTGACAACAATCCAACGTAAGTGATGGAAATATCGGATCTTGTTATCTTATGACAGTGACGTCATTAAGCTATCTGAGGCTGTATCAGCCAGTACTGGGATATGCCCTTAGTCTTTTTTATTTAGCAATCAAATACGGTATTTAACTAAAGAAATTGTAAACATCACATCACTATTCAAAAATAGATTAATTATTAAATTACATGTACTCACATATGTTTATTTTATTCCCGTCTTTTGACTATTTATAGAATTTAACATAAAACTGAATATTCATATAAAAATACACAAGAACATTAATTATCTAAGACGAGAACTTTGAAGTGATTTAAGTTATAATATCACGTCTTCATTTATGTACTAGAGTGAGCGACGATTTAGTGATGGGCTACTGTTCGATAAAAACTATCGATATCGATATCGATGTTTTAAGTTTGACAGAACACCCTGAATAGTAAATTTAAGTAGTTGATCCGTTTTATATATAAAATACTAGCTGTTGCCCGCGACTTCGTCCGCGTAGTATATAAATAACAAAAAGCTACCTATTCCTCGGGAACCGGACATTTCTCGGTGATGAACCTTATCCCATGTGTACTCCAGACTTTGTTATATATCTGTGCCAAATTTCAATAAGATATGTTGAACCGTTGCAGAATGATCGAGTAAACATTAAAAAACTAAATTAATGAATCCCACGGGAACCGTAATTATTCCCGGGATAAAAAGTAGCCAATGTGTTCTTTCAGACTATGCTCTAAACCTGTGCCAGATTTCATGGAGATCCGTTCAGTCGTTTAGGCTACAAATGCTAACAAACATGATTAATATACAAACATATTGGACTATTTTACCGTGAATTACATCAAGTAACTATACTTTTCTTATGTGGTCTCTAAGTTGAGTTGTTCGACTGATTTTAACGAAACTTTACTAGAAAGTTGATGTTTGCAGGAACATTTTCAATTCCACGCAGACGAAGTTGCATGCAACAGCTAGCTTTACAAGTAACAATGCCTTGGAGTTGGTAATTCTTTCCATTAAGACAATAAACGTGCATTCAAGTTGAAAACAAAAGAACAGTGTAAATTGTTTCAATGATCTATTAAAAAACTACAGACAAACATATATCTATCTCTTTTTAACTATCTCAAGACAGTATTAACGTATTAAACAGTGGTAGAGCCCGCTTTAACATCTTCGCACGAATGGACCGGCTTCCTCGATGTAATACCACTACCACATAGAAAACAGGCGTGAAGTGCAAATAATTCCGCGTTTCGTCTGATGAGTGTGGTACCGGAGGTCTGATTTTAGTCCCTTTTCCTTTCCACCCTTTTCTTGGATTTAACGGTGGAGGAGACGCATAGGAAGATGTAATGTCCTCTTTATCTGCGTCTCCCCCTCCGTCAATTAAGAGTAGGCAACGCATCTGCAATTGCGGTGGGCTATGGGCAGCGATCGCTTTCTATTTCGGTGGATTCAGGTGGCCGCTTGCTCGTTTGCCACCTTATATTGTGAAAAAAAAATAAGATAATTTTAAAGAATGTAAAAATATTACTTCTTTAAAAAAAATAATATAATTGTAACTAGCGATATGAATTTTAATACTCGATTAGAGAGTCGTCAGGAATGCGCGCGAATATCCCAATCGTTGTGATGACATTGACAGCTGTGAGCTAGGTACGTTTTTTTTATAATATAAGGTGGCAAACGTGCAAACGGCCTGAATCCACCGAAATGGAAAGCGACCGCTGCCCATAAACATCCGCAATTGTAGATGCGTTGCCTACCCTTCATTGATGGAGGAGGAGATGCACATAAAGTGGATATTTCCCCTTCCTATGCGTCTCCTCCAGTCAAATCCACTTTTCCTTTCCATCCTTTCCTCTTAAGAAAGGGGATTGATGGATCTTTATTAGAGTTTGTAGCCTAAATGGCTGAACACATCTCGATGAAATTTGACACAGACGTAGAGGGTACCCCGATAGAACAGATAGGCTACTCACTTTTGTTTTTTTTAACTCTACACGGACGGAGTCGCGCGCGAAAGCTAGTACTTACTACAAACGTGTTTTTGAATCTTTAAATATTTGCAGTAACTATGCAAGTACATGAGAAATGTTTGCTTCATTTTGTTTGGGTATTTGTCACGTAACACATTTTGACTAGTGATGAGATACATCGATACATTTGAATTAAGATTATTTAAAAATCCTTACATAAATAACTATATAAAATCTGATGAAGATTTCAATTTATTCCTTACATCATAATCATACTAATATTATAAATGCGAAAGTTTAGATGGATGTTTGTTAGAGTTTGTAGCCTAAACGACTGAATAGATTTTGATGAAATTTGGTACAGATATAGAGGATAATCTGGAGGAACACATAGGCTACTTTTTATCCCGGAAATAGTTACGGTTCCCGTGGGATGCATTAGTTTCGTGTTTTAATGTTTGCTCGATAATTCTGCAACGGTTCAACATATCTTATTAAAATTTGGCACAGATATAACATCTACGCACGAATGGGCCGGCTCGCCCGGTGTAATACCACGACCACACAGAAGACAGGCGTGAAGTGAGAGCTATTCCGCGTTTCATCTGATGAGTGTGGTGCCGGAGGCCTAATTTTAATCCCTTTCTCTTTCCACCATTTTTAAGAAGAAAGGATAGGAAGCAAAAGTGGATTTGACAGTGTAGGAGACGCATAGTAAGGGGATATGTCCCTTTTATGTGCGTCTCCCCCGTCAATGAAGAGTAAATAGGCAACGCTGCAATTGCGGATGTTTATGTGCAGCGGTCGCTTCACATTTCGGTAGATTCAGGTCGCTTGTTCGTTTGCCACCTTTTATTATAAAAAACAACTGTTTAGTTGCACAACTAAAAATCGAATAGCGCATCTCCATATAAGATCAAAGAATCAAAGCGAAACTGAACAGTTGTACTGTAGTTTCCTTTTAGGTGTCACTCTCAAAATGCGTTTAGCATATCGATATCGATTTGTCGATGAACCGGCTTCGTGTTAACACATCACTATTATGTGATCATCCTATGTCTTGTTTATTTACAATATAATTATTATAGTAAATTTAAATAAATTACCAAGAATACACAAGTCGTGACCTGTTTAACCGCATCGCAGTATCATGTAACTATAAAAAGTCATTTGGGCGTCACCATGGAAGCTATGGCAAACAATTTTAATAGTAACTAGTTATTTGATCACGTCACCTTTCACGCATCCATCTCTTTCTAGGTTCACCTCTACCGGTGTACCACAATCATAACTAACGGCCGTCTTGTTACATGCGATTCATCCCTTCTCATAACATGTCCATACTCTAACCCTTTATTATTTTCTCAACCACTGGGGCTACTCTCAAACTTTCTTTAATATACTCATTTCGTAACTTATTCGTGTTACCTCATCTTAACATTCGCATTTCCGCCACATGTATTCTCCTTTCATCCGTCCCTTTTACTGCACAACAATGGCAGTTTGCAACAATCAGCAACAATGCAACAATTTGTTATGAAATATTATATTTAAGCATGAGGACGAAGAAAATAAACAAAAACATTGTCAAAGAAAACTTTTATTTAATAAAATGCATTTTCAAGGTGCCGCTATATCGCATACTGTACCCAATATTAAATCAAAAACACGATATCTGGAAACAAAACACAAAATAAATTTATTTTCCTTCTATATACTTTTAGACAACTTATTTAATTGATACTGTCGCTTTAAACTCAGAGCAATACTTCTCGTCTGGACTCAGGATGCGCGCCAAATCTATCCATACTTCTAGTGACATTGACAGCTGTCAGCTAGGGACGTGACGTTTATGCCGATAATCTAGAGTTGCGCCAATTCTACAGCACGGTACTAATTTTGTTCTTAACAATACATATAATGAAATTGGAGTGTCTGTTTGTTATATCAAAATAAATTCCAGATTTCGGGAAGATGATGTATTTGCGTTGCTGATAACAAGTCTAAATAAGATTAGTTTGATAAATAACGCATATGAAGTATCGAATTCAATTTGTATGAAGGCAAATGCCACACTTAATAGACAGGTATCGTAATGACGAAACACGCAGCGAACTATTCTATCGATATTCGGTTTAAATAATTATCGCACTCAACTAAAATTATTATTTTCTTATTTAATAATTTATAGGACAATTCTAGTATTGATTATAGTGTAGAGAATTTAGCGATGACAGAAATAATAGCGAAATCCAATTCGATTACGTACGGCTGTAGTAGTAATAAACATTTATTTACTTTCATTATTTGTTATGGTCATTATTAATTTAAGAAAACAGTGTTTTTTTTATTTCATAAGTTAGAACTATAAATCTATCGATTCCAACTTCTAAAAGAATAAAAATCGAAAATCGATAAGATTCATGACTGATTTTACACAACACATCCCTACTAAATTTGAAGTGAATTGTCAAACTAATCTAAATTAATTTGACACACTATAACACATTTTTGTCTGTCAATCTGTTTGACATATTTTGATAAAAAAAATCAAAATCGATCTACCAGGCGCGGAGTCGGAGTTATACCGTAACACAACAGACTAGTTGAGTACTTTTTTTTGAGAAATCGGTAAAATAACCTCTTTCGTTTACGTTAAAATATTCAACTAACTATATCTACCAACTTACCTATGGATAAAAAAATTATATTCATTAATATCAAATCTAGAGTAAATAAACTTCGGTATCTGATTCACCAGAACATATACTTCATCACCGACTATTTTTAAATCTAGAAAAAACAAGACAAAAACATCTGAATAACAAACAAAAAAAAACCCCGAGTTACCAGTAACGCCATCTAGTTACCAGAAATGTAGGCAAGTTTTTTATGATCTTGTGCGACGATAGCGACATTTTCCGGTGTCATTTCAGTGTCGATATTCCAACACAAGATGGCGTCTTGTGCGACATTTGCGTAGAAGATTATTCTAGAAGGTGCGTGGTAGTCGTGTGAACCGCTCTGCGTATTATTACCACGTTCACCGAAATACTGAAAATTAGAAAAATACGTGAAGTGTATTTGGTTCTAAAGTCAAAATTAAATAAAGAGAGGAATTTCAAATTTAATGGCGGTCAGTTATATACAAATCTATCCATCTATCTATACTAATTTAATAAAGCGTAAACACACACTACTTTGTGGCGTAGGATGTCAGCAATCACACCATAGTTTAAATAAGACCTTCTTTAATAAATCGCCCTTTACTTACGATACGCTTTAGTTTATATATATACGCGCTATTAAACTTAGGGGATAAATACATTGGAAAAAGACCTTCATGTGGGAAAGGAACCACAAACTATAAGCTGTCAACTTTAAGGAATCAAGGTTATTCTGGTAAGGGTAATTTTGACATTTGTAATTGAGAATTTGACAAATGTAAACAATACAATAAAGTTTTTATAATTTTATGAGGAGCCACACGGGAACAGCTATTTAAGAACGATAACTTCTTTAAAAGGCACTATTTTAGTTGTCAAGGTCTCTTGTCCTTGTATGGGCAAGTCACAAAAAATTTTACAAAATTATAAGAAGCTCCATATTTTGTTATAAAATAAACTAAACAGTCTCACAAAATAAAATTTAAACATTTAAATATGATTTAGTGACATCTATTGGCAATTTATATAAATAAAATTAAGTATATTGTCATGTTTTGAGGATACATTAATAGATGGCGTTGGTGACTATGTAAAAACGTCACTACATTTATTTTTTGAATCTCTTTTTTCTTCTCACATATGAAAATGGAATTAAGATTGGAATAAGGATAATTAATTAAATTAGTCCATTTCCGTTTCCATCCTTTTCCTATACAGAAAGGATGGGAAGGACAAGTGTATTTGAATGTAAAGACGCATAGGAAAGGGAAATATCCTCTTTATGTGCGTCTCCGGCGATTAAAGGCAACGCTGTCATTGCGGATGTCTAAGCAGTTCGCCATTTGCATAACTTTGCATAACTCTTGTGCGTGCGTCAAAGGAGCCAGATATAAAAGCCCTATAATCGACATCTTCTCCAACAAATGGCCAACATTTAAAAAATATCTACGCGAGGTTATCACTTAAATTTAATTTTTACTTTTTGGGTTCAACAAAATAAAAAAATAAAAAAAAAAAAAAAGATAAAAACATATACTGTCTACTGTTGTTACTGTTGTCGTTGTTGTTATTTTTCTATGTATGTCGTGTAAACCTATAATTAGGACAAATTATCTGCATGTTACTTATTGTATGGTGTAAAAATGTATGTGTTATAATTTTGTCCTGTTGGTTTATCTTAATAAATAAATAAAAATAAATAAATAAAATTTCGGCGGATTCAGGCCGCTTGCTCGTTTGCCACTTTATAATATAAAAAAAATGTTATACTCACAGTATTACGTTCGGGAAAGTTATTGTTTTTAAGGAATTCAGTATCGATAGCAAACTCTTGTGTGGAGACGAGTGGATGGTAGAAAGCCTTCCTCTTCCCTTTGGTGTCAGGATCAGTTAGCGTGACGCTGAATAATCCATCTTTCCAATTAATTACGTACCCTGGGATAGAACAAAGAGATATTAATAGATACCTATTGAAACGAGATGTATGTATTTACCTATAGCTTTCGCCTTTGACTCCTCTACATCTATGCCAAATTATTTCGAGATCCGTACCATAGTTTAGGCTACAAACTCTAACGAACATCCATCTATTAATAAATTCTCTTGATGATAGACACATTTATTTGGATAAGGATTCATACCGAACACGAGTAATAGCGTTGAAAGTGGGGTGTAGATTTCGAGCGATATTTTAATGAAAAAAGTGGTTATTGTGCGACAACCTTAATAGATAGATTTATGCTATCCCGGACTTTTATTTAGCAAATTTAATGGGCTACAATTCTTCCATACATCATTTTTATGTAAGTCTTATAGTTTAGGCTACGTAAGCAAAGAAAGCAAAAATGGCCCGAAATTTCGTCGCGCGATTTTGAGCTAAACTATTTAACTACGTCGTAGTCTTAGACTCCAAAAATTAAACAAAAAAATGGGACCCACCTGCAAGCATTACCTTTCGGATAAAAAAATAATTATCCAAATCGGTTCACTAGCGGAGTTATGCCGTAACACACATAAAAAAAACATATCGACGAATTGAATACCTCCTACTTTTGGGAAGTCGGTCAAAAATGTAATTTTTTGTTTTAAAACGCTGTCAACAGATGGCGCTATTTCGTATTTTGGATTTTATTAAATTCCAGTTATGTAATTACCTGCAGCTGTGAAGTTCATAGCATTCTCATCGTGGACGAAGCTTCTATGATTTACTCTCCAGCTGTCCATGTTCTTAAGAGAGAATACAATCATACCTTCAGTCGCTAGATCATTGATATACGCGTATGCGTCATCACATGACTTCTTATCTACGTCCACGGTAATTGAGGTTAGACCTGAAAAGTAACTAGATGGCGCTACTTGTGTTTTAGAACACGATGTTAAGGTTTGTTTTGAAGTAAGACTTGTATAATTAAAGAAAATTGGTAGGAAGTCTGTATTAATCCGGAATCTTTCATTTATAAACTTCCATACATACAAACGTAAGTAAATCTACCTGCAGATGATCTTTCGTTGACCAAATCAGTCGATTTCAATTCATATCTGACTATTTCCTCGTCAGTTTTCAAATCGTATACAACAATCGCCGGTGGCTGAATTTGTTTCCTTTCACCTTAAAAGAAAAAAATAATAAAAACAAGAGCAACGATTAAAAATTGATTGTCGATTGTTACGCAGCCTATCTGTTTAGGTGCACTAAACATAAAGTAGTGTGTCCACATGAGATTATAGGAATCAAAGCGAGACTAAACAGTTGTTTTTTTTTTTCATAATATAACGAGGCAAACGAGCAAGCGGCCTGAATCCACTGAAATGGAAAGCGACCGCTGCACATAAACATCCGCAATTGCAGCGCTGCCTGCCCTTCATTGACAGAGGAGACGCACATAAAGAGGACATGGGTCTCCTCCACCGTTAAATACTTTTCCTTCCCATCCTTTCCTCTTAAGAAAAGCGTGGAAAGGGAAAGAAACTAAAATTAGGCAGGCAAGCAGTAGAGTGCGATAATTTAGTTACATGTGTTACCCTACTTTAAGGGGTTACCCCAATGACTGGAACATACCTGGTACTTCTAAATGGCCAGTGTCTACCATCCACAGCCTTCCACACACATCGACCCTCGGACGATATACAGAGACGAATTTATTCCTACTTTTAGTATCAGGATATGGAATCAAAGCTGGTGATGTACCACTTGATATTTTAACATAGTTTAATGTCGATGGTATACCTGAAAGATATTCTTATTATTCACTAGCTGTTGTTCGCGAGTTCGTCCACTCAATGCTAAGATAAATAAAAAGAAATATCAAAATCGGTCCACTAGCGGCGGAGTGATGTAACACACATAACAAAACATGCAGACGAATTGAGTACCTCCTTCTTTTAGGAAATCGGTTAAAGTAGCCTATATGCCCGTCTATGTGAACTACCCTCCAGTGAAAGTCTCGTCGAAATCGTCCCAGCTGTTTCGGAGATTACTCGGAACAAACGCGGCTTGTGGACAGACATACAAAATTAAATTTAAATGCGATTTTCGTTATCAGCAAAGCAAATACATATCTTTTGATATTACAAACAGACACTCCAATTTTTGACCGACTTCCCAAAAGGTATTCAATTCGTCTGTATGTTTTTTTTTCTGTGTTACGGCATAACTCCGCCGCTAGTGGACTGATTTTGATAATTCTTTTTTTATCTGAAAGGTAATGCTTGCAGGTCCAATTTTTTTGTTTGATTTTTAATATATGTATAAATAGATAGATATAGACCGCACAATTGACAAAACCATCGCACAACTTTTAGTCTCGATTCGATTTCAATAATCTTACATGGAGGTGCACAAATTCGATGTTTATGTGCAACTAAACAGTTGAATAACGAAACACTGACAACTGTCGTGCGATATTTTAGTCAATGATCTTGTCTTAATGCTCTTGGTTTTATGTCCATACCATGCCTCCTTCTTGGTACAGTAACAAACACTCTGTTTCCAAACACTTCCATACCAATCGGTACATTATTATATTGTGTAAAAAATTTCTCAGCATCTGCGACATTGTTTTGTTTTTGCGTCTGTAACTCGCTATCTGAACTTGATTCGTCTGAAAATATAACACGTGGATAACCTCAAATGACACTGATTGTACTGCGTTGACCTTTTTACCAGCTTTGCTGTTTTAATCTTACCAACATTATAAATGCGATAGTTTTTTTATAACATAATGTGGCAAACGAGCAAGCGGCCTGAATCTAACGAAATGGAAAGCGACCGCTGCCCATTCGCAATTGCAGCGCTGCCTGCCCTTAATTGACGGAGGAGACGCACATAAAGAGGACATTTCCCTTTTACATGCGTCTCCACCGTCAAATCCACTTTTCCTTTTCATCCTTTCCTTTTAAGAAAAGGGTGGAAAGGAAAAGGGACTATAATTAGGCCTCCGGCACCACACTCATCAGACGAAACGCGAAATTGCGTCCACTTCACGCCTGTTTTCTGTGTGGTCGTGGTATTACACCGGGCGAGCTGGCCCATTCGTGCAAAGATGTTAAAGCGGGCTCTACCACTGTTAGGACAGTGTTTCTTAAAGTAGGCGATAAAGCCTCCTTTGGGGCGTTTGAAACCTATAGAGGGGCGTTATAGGCCCCCAGAAAAAACTGAGGGCGTTGATATGGGTTAGGGGGGCGATGCATAATTTGTAATTTTATTTATATTATATAGTTAGTATTTTAAATTTTACTAAAATTGTATAAAAACGGGGGCTCTAAAGATCATTGGTTTTCAAAGGGGCCGGTAAAAGAAATAAGTTTGATATACACTGGTTTAGATGGATGGATGTTTGTTAGAGTTTGTAGCCTAAACTGCTGAACGGATCTGGATGAAATTTGGCATAGATGTAGAGGATAGTCTGGAAGAACACGTAGGCTGCTCACTTTGAATAATTCTACGCGGACAGAGTCGCGTGCGAAAGCTAGTTTACTAATATTTCCTTTAACATTCGAACGAAGATCTAGGCTTGCTAGAATAAGGTTTACAATAGTCGAATGACGAGATGCGGACCCTTGACCAAACTATATTTTTATTAACTACTAGCTGTTCCCGTGCGACTTCATCCGCATGTAATTTTATTTTAATACTTACATTTGTCAAATTATCAATTACAAATGTCAAAATGACATGACATGATGACAACCTTGCTTCCTTGATGTTGACAGCAATTTATGGTCTATTTCCCACATTAGGGTTTTTATCCAAGATATTAACACCTAAGTTTAATGACGTTAAAATATATAGCCTAAAGCGTGACGTAAGTGTAGGACTTTTTATTAAAAAAAGAATTATTCAAAAATATGCTGTAATTGCTGACATCTTAGGCAACAAAGAAGTGTGTGTTTACGCTTTATTATAATAGTATAGAAGTATAGATTATCAAATTTAGAGATTTTTCAGTTTCTCCTAAATCTATAGAAGAAGCGCTGACTGAATTCTAAATTTGAATTTTATAGCACAATTCGAAGTCTGTAAAAATTACAATTAGACACGCAATTGTGTAAACAAATTGAAGAATTCAATTACCTATATTTCGTAAACTACTAGATGTGATTAAAAGATATTTTGGCAATATAATGAATTCCGGTACATCTATTAATGTTTAAAATTTCAACCTTCCATCTTTATCCACAACGAAGTTACAAGGATGTATAGAGCCATGAAACGCTTCGAGGAAATAGTGTTTGGCCGTGCTCACGTGGCGGGTGGCACAGCCACACACAGTAAACTAGCTTTCGCCCGTGATTCCGTCCGCGTGGAATAACAAAAGTGAGTAGCCTATGTATTCTTCCAGACTATCCTCTACGTCTATATCAAATTTCATGGATTTTTGACCTAGTTGTCACTTTGCCTTGAAGAGGCCTTGGCCGGACATGGCGCTCAGCCTAGACCTCGTTTATGAGTAACTAAGCTAGAGAACTCCTTCAGAAGCCTCGGCTCGGGCTGTTACTTCGTTATTATTACCGGATTCACACTGTTCAAATATTACACTGGACAGATCGTGTCTGAGCTACAATCTTGTGACATCTATGGGACATCGTGTGAGTTGGTATAACGGCGGATCCAGGGTCGGGTCATGGGGGTCATGACCCCCCCTGAGCTGGTTGGTCAAGCTTGACTAAATATATTTACATATTTTGTCAAGTCACTTGACTACGTCTATGTAACGCCCCCTGGCGCCAAAGCTGGATTCGCCCTTGGTTGGTGCGATATTCCAAACCAGTTTAGAGTTTTTACGCTTTCTTAGTTACATAACATCTTACTAATATTATAAATGTGAAATTTTAAATGGATGGATATTTGTTAGTGTTTTTTTTTAATTCTTATTTTCAACTTCTACAGTCTCTTGGTCCGTACTCTTTTTTGCACAGTTTGTTTTATTTTTTTTTGTTGCATAATCCGTATAGCACTAATGAGATCCTTTTTTTTAGTGTTAGGGCCTGTCCCACCACCAGCTGATAGAGGCTCAGCTTTAAAACACTGTCAGATAAGGTAATACAATACGATATTTTCACATATTTTACGTTGGATTGTTACCAGAAAATTCACAAGTGGGACAGGCCCTTAGTAGTCTGAACTGCAGAACGGATCGCAACGAAATTTGGCATAGATGTATAGTCTGGAAGAACACATAGGTTACTATTTTTTTTAATTCCACACGGAGGAAGTTAATAATTAAAAATACTCACATATATGTCCATTGAAATCGTAAGTCATTTGCTTCCATTTGAACACTTCTTGTAGTCCAAAACGACCTTGGATGTGACCTCTTGTTTTGTCTAACAAAAGTATTAAGAAACAGACGAAATATTTCATATTTTCGTATCAAAAGTTCATTAACAACTGTGTATATTAACTGCAAGAACCAGTTATATTTATATTGTTGCCAGGTTAGGTTTTCTTCCCCGATTTTTATATTTCATTTTAATATTAAAATTATTAGAGTCAAGGAAAGCATGTTTGTAAATCATTTTTATTACTTTTATGACGTTATGAAATTAAAAAAATATACTATTTTTATTACTTTCTTAAATATAAAATTCTTCGCACAATTGTTTAAGAGAACAGTTAGTTAGTTAATTTTTGTTTGTTTAAGATTTATTGGTTTATCGTCGCTTTGCGACAAAGCCCCCTGTAAGAATAAATAAAAAAAATTTCTTGTGATTTTTTTTATAACATAAGGTGGCAAACGAGCAAGCGACTACCTGAAACCGCCAAAATGGCGAAGCGACCGCTGCCCATAGACATCCGCAATTGCAGATGCGTTGCCTACCCTTATACGACGGAGGAGGAGACGCACATAAAGAGGATAATTCTCCTTCCCATGCATCTCCTCCACCGTCAAATCCACTTCCTCTCCTTATAAGAAAAGGATGGTAAAGAGAAAGGGACTTAAATTAGGCCTCCGGCACCACACTCATCAGACGAAACACGGAATTGCTTCCATTTCACGCCTGTCTGTGTGGTCGTGGTATTACTGGGGGCGTGCCCTGCAGTGCTAAGATGTTAACGCGGGCACTACCACTGTCAAAATTGTGTCGCACAACTAAACATCAAGTAGTGTCCATGTACGTTCATAGTAATCAACGCAAGACTAAACAGTTGTGCAATAGTTCAGTCAAAGGTATGCTCTAAAGATGATTATTTTTTATAAAATTTCCCTATAACACGGGTAATATTTGTACGATGGCAACATTAATTACCTTCACACTATCAATGCAGGGTCAGACGGTTATTATATCTTTATTTATTTACTAACATTATAAAGATGACAGATTTGTATTTTTGTATGTATTGAAAAATGGAACGATGCGATCCGCAGCAGAATCATAGCCGACATTGCCCGAAGAATTGTAAACCTTAAGTGGCGATGGGCTGGCCATATTGCCCGCAGAACTGACGGCCGATGGGGCCCAAGAGTCCTGGAGTGGCGGCCACGGATAGGTCGTCGCAGCGTAGGTAGGCCTCCCGCAAGATGGACCTATGACCTGGTCAAGGTTGCGGGAGTGCACTGGATGCGGGCGGCACAGGACCGGGCATTGTGGCAATCAATGGGGGAGGCCTACGTTCAGCAGTGGACGACCTATGGCTTACAATGATGGCTGATTTTTTTTTTAATATTAGTAGATTTTTTTTAATTTACTAATATTTCCTTTAACCATTACAACTAAGCTGTAGGCTTGTGCTAGGATATGGTTCACAGTCGAATGTCGGGATTCGAACCCGACCGTAAGATCGGTAGTCCGTACCCACAACCATTGGCGGTTATTTCAACGATTCTAACACATTTAAAAAGCTACGTTATCACTGAGTAACATAGGCTATTTTTTTAAGAGGAAGAATCGCGAGCAACAGTTACTATACGATAAAATTGTCCTTTACAGTATTTAAATTGGACTAATAGTTTAGAAGATATCGCGAACACAAACAATAAGGGTGCTTGGGTTTCGTAGGTCTCGATCATTGTATTTAATAAAACTCCGATACATGTTAGTTTATTCTACGATGACAGATACCGGTTAACCAAAGACAAGGAGTCTGAATAGATATTGTCACAGACAACATATAACAAAGGGTAACCGAAAAATCAGCTTACAAATTAGAAATACGGCGCTTAGAAATTTGGAATGCATCAGTAGATTTCTATTATTACGTAGATTACTAAAAAGTAGGCGTTTTAGGCTTCCTTCTTCATCCTGTAAAGGTTGAAGAAAGGAACGTATGTTGTGAACTTTTAAACTCCACGCGCAAGTAGTAGGCAATAGCTAGTTAGTAAAATCATCGATTTTTTTTGTTTATTTAAAATAACTGTCTATTAATATTGAAGAAAACGTGTTTAAAAATAAAAATAGGAATTGTTTAAAAATGTTTAATATCGTAATTATACTAAAGTGATACAGTTCCAGTCGTAAAAATTCCCTGGTTTCTTATACGGAGACAAAACCGCTTACAATTAATCATACTAATATTATAAATGCGAAAGTTTAGATGGATGTTTGTTAGTTTGTAGCATAAACTGCTGAACGGATTTCGATAAAATTTGGTATAGATGTAGAGGATATTCTGGAACAACACATAGGGTACTTACTTTTGTTTTAAACAGACGAAGTAGCGGGCAAAAGCTAGTAACTCATAAGTTCCAAAACAATTAAGAAAATAGATAAGAGTGAACAAAATTTCCATCTGTACTTTCTCTAAAAAAAATTATTATTAGTATTAAAAAAATAATTGTTAAACGACATCTATTGGCAATTTCAATACAATCGACATGTTTTTGAGGATCTATCAATAGATGGCGTTAAATGTGAAAAATAATGCTTATTTGAATATCTTCGTTAGCTTAAAAATAGACACAATTCTCAACGTAAATATTACTGGTTAGGCCAAACTATATCTTCAATCCAGTCAATATAACTAGAAACCCTAGTGTAGACCGCTGGCGACCCTTTTTGAGCACAACGACCACCAAATGAGGTCAGACCCATTATGTGATATACTCTTACCGATGGTTCTGTCATTACTTGGATTGGAGCGCCGGAATCACCCTGGATATATTTAGTTATACTTACTATCTTACTAGATTTACCCCGCGATTCCGTCTGTGTGGAATCAAAAGTAAGCGTTTTTCCAGACTACCCTCTATTCAGTTTAGGATACATCTAAACTTTTGCATTTGTAATATTAGTAATCTGTGAAAGTTGGGATGTATGTTTGTCAGTTTGTATCCTAAATTGAACGGATCTCGATAATTGTTTGATAGTCACACATAACTTAGTTAATTTTGATTTTTTTGTATTCCACACGAACAGATTCGCGGGTGAAAACTAGTATATCTATATCTATACTAATATTTTAAAGATATTTTTATTTTTGTATGAATTAAAATAACTTATAAATTACTAGGCCGATTTTAATTCTTTAACATGACATGTTTGCATTGTAGGGTCAGCTCGCCCCCAGCAATAGCACGACCACACAGAAGACAGGCGTCAAGTGGGTACAATTCTTCACTAAGTCTTATGGGTGTGGTGCCGGAGGCCTAGTAGTGCCTTTCCCTTTTTACCCATTTCTTAAAAAGAAACGATAGGAAGGAAAAGTGGATTTGATGGTGGAGGCGCATAGGAAGGGGAAATATCCTCTTTATGTGCGTCTCCGTTGGTTAAGGCAAACCCTACAATTGGGGATGTCTATGGGCTGTCGCTTCGCCATTTCAGCGGTTTCAGGTGACCGCTGGCTCGTTTGCCACCTTATGCTAATATTACAAATGTGATAGTTTAGATAGACGGATGGATGTTTGTTGGAGTTTGTAGCCTAAACGGCTGAACGGATTTCTATGAAATTTGGTAAAGATGTAGAGATAGCCTAAAAGAACACATAGGCTACTTTTTTTAGTTCCACGCAGACGGAATCGCGGGCGAAAGATATATATTTTTTTTAAATGTCTTGTGTATACCCTTGTCGGTTTCTTGTCTGTCACTTACCTGACAAGTATCTTTCCCTCCATTAAGTTCGCCCGCACACATCTGTGTCGGAGCAAAGCCATCCCAATATCTGTTCCTCGGAGTTATTATGTCACATTGTTGGTTACTGTATAAATTTAATCTTACATTTTGTAAAATATCCGACGTTGTTGTTGAGTCTAAAAATTAACCATACCAATAAAAATATAGACAGTGTTTGTTTTACTGATATATAGATGTCTTACTAATCTTACTAATATTATAAATGCGAAAGTTTAGATGGATGGATGGATGTTTGTTAGCGTTTGTAGCCTAAACGGCTGAACGGATCTACATGAAATGTGGCACAGGTTTAGAGCATAGTCTGGAAGAACACATAGGCTACTTTTTATCCCGGGATAAGTTACGGTTCCCGTGGGATTCATTAATTTAGTTTTTTAATGTTTACTCGATCATTCTGCAACGGTTCAACATATCTTATTGAAATTTGGCACAGATATAAAACAAAGTGTGGAGTACACATGGGATAAGCTTCATCCCCGAGGTGTCTGGTTCCCGGGATACGTAGCTTTTTGTTATTTATATAGTTCGTATGTTTTCTAATACCACGCGGACGAAGTCGCGGGCAACAGCTCGTATATAATAACATACATTTAATCAGTTCTAATACACATTGCAACATAATACAACATAATACACTTGAACAAAAAAAAAGAATATAAACGAGATAAGAGAAAACTAACTATTAACAATCAAAACTAATGACAAGAAAAGTGAACAGAAAAAAAAGCTAAAATATAGACATTTTAACAATGCGTTGCAATGCAGAACTGATAAGGCTTTCGCTCAGCTATATGTTTAGTACCCTAGGGGTAAAAACGCTGTTGTTCTGCAAAAACCTTTACATCCTCCGTACGTAAGTTACAGCGGTTACATTATTGAAAAGTAAGAAATTAATTGAAAGGTAATATTATTGTATGGACAAAACAAAAAATAAGCACACGTAAAAAATAAATAAATAAATAAAAGCAAGTCATACCAATCAACAATTTAAAAATATAATATACTAGCTGACTTCCCATGTGACTTAATCCGCATAAATTTATTTTACACGAGCTGTTGCCCGCGACTTCGTCCGCGTGGTATTAGAAGACATACGAACTATATAAATTACAAAAAGTTACGTATCCCGGGAACCGGACATTTCTCGGGAAGGAAGCTTATCCCATGTGTACTCCACACTTTGTTTTATATCTGTGCCAAATTTCAATAAGATATGTTGAACCGTTTCAGAATGATCGAGTAAACATTAAAAAACTAAATTAATGAATCCCACGGGAACTGTAACTATTCCCGGGATAAAAAGTAGCCTATGTGTTCTTCCAGACTATGATCTAAACCTGTGCCAAATTTCATGGAGATCCGTTCAGTCGTTTAGGCTACAAACGCTAACAAACATCCATCCATCTAAACTTTCGCATTTATAATATTAGTAAGAAGTAAGATCTATACTCTATAATAATAATAATAATAATAATAATAATCATTTAATCTATTCAGAACACTACAGCACTTACAAAAATCACAACACACAGAAAATAACAAATTTAAAATTAAAATTATACCAATTATAACTAAAAGTAAAAACATACAATATACTCTATACGATTTAGCGCCGCCCAATAAAAATGGTATCCATGCCTACTCCTGTAAGTTACGGTTGTTATTTTACTTACTTTCAGTAACACCCCAGCCAGTCGCTATAACACTTTTGTGTTCTCCAAAGTCAGGCTTCGTCCAGAGACATGCAGGTCGCACATCCTCAGAGAATTTCAAAGCTTCTGCCAGTTCCACAAGTGCGATATCGTTGTAGCGTGATGGAGGCTTATAGTCTGGATGTTTGTGTATGGATTTGATCTTCACCTATATTTATATTAAATATTTATCTTAATAACTAATATTATGAACGCGAGATATCGAAGATTGTCATACATGTAGATAGTCTGGAACACATAGGCTACTTACTTATGTTTTTTCCTATTCCACGACAACATTTCCAGATCGAGTCGCGGGCGAAAGCTAGTGTATACTAATATAATAAAGCATAAACATACTAATTAGTGGCATAGGATGTCAGCAATCACATCATATTCTTGAATATATCTTTCTTTAGTAAAAAGCCCTACACTTATACACGCTTTAGGCTATATTTTTCACGCTATCAAACTAAAGAGGTAAAAAATCATTCACATGGGAAAGAAACCATAAACTACAACCTAAAATGCAAGGTTTAACAGTGGTAGAGCCCGCTTTAACATCTTCGCACGAATGGGTCGGCTCGCTCCGTGTAATACCACGACCTTACAGAAAACTGGCGTGAAGTGGAAGCAATTCCGTGTTTCGTCTGATGTGTGTGGTGCCGGAGGCCTAATTTTAGTCCCTTTCCCTTTCCACCCTTTTCTTAAGAGGAAGGATGGGAAGGAAAAGTGCATTTGATGGTGGAGGAGACGCATAGGAATTGGAAATGTCCTCTTTATGTACGTCTTCTCCTTCGTCAATGAAGGGTAGGCAACGCATCTGCAATTGCGGATGTTTATGGGCAGCGGTCACTTTTCATTTCGGTGGATTCAGGTGGCCGCTTGCTCGTTTGCCACCTAATATTATAAAAAAAAAAAGGTTATTAAGGTAACGGTAACTGTGATATTTGAAATTGAGAATTCTACAAATGTAAACAATAAAATATAGTTTTTATAGTCTCATGCGAATGAAGCCGTACGGGAACAGCTTGTAACATAAGACGCGTTATAATAATAATGAATTAAATTTACTTACGTCAATAATTGGGTATCCATTTTTATACTTAGGGTCCAAATCAACGTTCCCCAAACGTACAATAACCGGTACAGGATTGACGGTTTTCGCTTTAAAAGAGCAGTGACCAGCCGTTAGTATAAAACGCGGACTAATAACACTTCCACCACAACCGAATTTGTATCCTCCGTCGAAATTGCGCCAAGCGATGGCACCCTAAAACACAGAATATAAACCTTAGTAATTTATCTATATCTGTACTTCATTATCTTTCTCCTTATCCTACTCCCGTAGGGTCGGTACAACGGATTTTTGTCGTCTAAAAAACTACATCATACGTCATCTCAGTCATCACTCCCTTCTTGATCATGTCACCTTTCACACAATGCATCCATCTCTTTCTGTCTACCTCTACCGGTGTACCACACTCATAACTAACGTTCTCCTTGTAACATGCGATTCATCCCTCCTCATAACATGCCCCCATGCTAACCTTTTACTCCTTACCTTCTCTACCACTAGGGCTACTCTCAAACTTCCTCTAATATACTCATTTCGTACTCTCATATCTTATCCATTCTTGTTATATACTTGTAAATATAATATAGCGTAAATACACAAATATGTCACAGTATTTTTTGAATATTTTTTCAATAGCTTTATAGTTACGAGACCTTTTCCTCTATACATTTGCAAGCTATTAAACTTTAGGAGTAAATAATTTAAAAAAAAAACGTCATTCAGGAAAGACAAAACCTACAAGTTGATATAAAAGAAGCAAGATTGCTGGTAACAGTTATCGTTATCCAATGTCAAAGGCCTTTCTATTCTTACTTACATACGTGATCGAATCGCCACAGTATGGAATGCCATGGCCGGTGTCCACGGACGAATTGACAAATTATTCTTTGAATCTTCGAGTTACAGACACAAATAAGAGATGAACATGCAAATGTTCATCTCTTATATAAATGCAATAATATGCTTCTACATTTTTGTTCCTAGGAACCACTTGTGTAACAACAAATTGCAGGTAAATGATAGCTTTCTGAATATGGCGGTAAAATGCGTGGATTTCTAACAGTGGTAGTGCCCGCTTAAACATTTTCGCACGAATGGGCCGGCTCGCCCGGTGTAATACCACGACCACACAGAAAACAGGCGTGAAGTGGAAGCAATTCCGCGTTTCGTCTGATGAGTGTGGTGCCGGAGGCCTAATTTTAGTCCCTTTTGCTTTCCACCCTTTTCTTAAGAGGAAAGACTAGGAAGGAAAAGTGGAGGAGACGCATAGGAAGGAGAAATGTGTTCTCTATGTGCGTCTCCTCCTCCGTCAATTAATGGTAGGCAACGCATCTGCATTTGCGGATGTCTATGGGTAGCGGTCGCTTTCCATTTCGGTGGATTCAGGTGGCCGCTTGCTCGTTTGCCACCTACTGTTATAAAAAAAAAGGTTAAAGCAAAAACACACGCTTCTTAGTTATATAGATCAATCATAGCATATTTTTTAATCAAAATTTTTTACGAAAAACCCTTTTATCACACACTCTTGACTAAACTGTCTCACAACTAAGTTTGTCGATCGTTTCGCGGCTCAACTGTTTAGTTGCACAACTAAACATGGAGTTGTGTGCTCAAGCTCATAAGAATCAGAGACTAAACAGTTGTGCGATATTTTAGTAAAGGAGTGCGAGCTCTTAGCCTAAAGAGATATTACCATATGCGGAAATTCTCGCGGACTCGAGTTACTTCCTCCGAAAACGTATGTATGTTGTGTATTAAAAAATGTTGGAACATTTTTATTATATTCCTTACATTCTGAAAATATAAAACGTAAATCTTATTAATATTCATCATCATCATCATCACCAGCTCACTGAACGTCCCCGAGGACCTCGGAGCGGAGCCTATCCTAAACTAGGGTGACTAGGCCATAGTCAACCACGCTGCACTGCGGGTTGACTTCACACATATCTTTGAATTTCTTCGCCGATATGTGCATCACGATGTTTTCCTTCACCGTAAGAACGTCGGGTAAATTATGTACATATGAAAATTCGAAAATCACATTGGTACTGTAGATTACAAGTCAAGTGCTTAAACCACTGAGCCACCGACGCTCTTCGACTTCTCGACTAATATTATAAATGCGAAAATTTAGATGGATGGATGTTTGTTAAAGTTTGTAGCTCAAACTGCTGAACGAGTGTCAATGAAATTTATCATAGATGCAGAGGACAGTCTGAAAGAACTCATAGGCTACTTATTTTTGTTTAAATTTATTACTACGCGGACAGAGTCGCTGGCGAAAGCTAGTATTAGTACTAATTTATATAATAGTAAAACAAAGAAATTCAAGAAAATATATAGAGATAAATATGTAAGCATAGACACTTTATTTGAGATATTCTTCACATGTTACTACCGCCATCTATTGATAGATCCTCAAAACATGTAAATATAATTTTATTTAAATTAATTGCCAATAGATGTCACTAAATCATATTTAAATGTTTATATTTTGTGAGACTGTTTAATTTATTTTATAACATAACTAGCTATCTCCCGCTACTCCGTTCGCGTGTATTTAAAAAAACAACAGAAAATAGTATTTGTTCTTCCGAACTATGCTACATCTATGCCAAATTTCATCGAGATCCGTTTAGTCTTTTAGGTTACAAACTCAAACAAACATTCATCCATGCAAACTTTCGCATTTATAATATTAGTAAGATATGTGGCTTATTATAATTTAGTAAAATGTTTTATTGTCTGTCAATACACGACACGTCACTAAATTAGACAGATAAAGTAGCTTTCAAAGAAGTTACCGGCGAAAATATGTTCGTATTTCGTTATAGTGTGTCTAAATAAGATATATTAGTTTAATAAATGACGCATGAAGTATCGAATTCAATTTGTATGAAGTCTAACGTAAATAGACAGGTGTAGTGACGAAACACGCAGCGAACAATTATGAACTATCGATATTCGGTTTAAATAATTATCGAACTCAACTAAAATTATTATTTTCTTATTAACTAATTTAGAGGACAATTCTAGTATTGATTTTAGTGTAGAGAATTTAGCGATGAGAGAAATAATAGCGAAATCCAATTCGATTATATACGGCTGTAGTAATAAACATTTATTTACTCTTATTATTTGTTATGGTCATTATTAATTTGAGAAAACAGTGTATTTTTTAATTCATAAGTTATAACTATAAATCTATCGATTCCAACTTCTATAAGAATAAAAATCGAAAATCGATAAGATTCATGACTGATTTTACATAACCCATCCCTACTAAATTTGAAATGAATTGTCAAACTAATCTAAATTATTTAGACAAACTATTATGTCTTTGACTAATACGAATACTTGACTGATTTTAGTAAATAAATGTTTTTTTTCATTAGTGAAAAAGGTAATTTATTTAAAATCACTCACTTCTTTCACTGACTCTTTCTAGTTGACGTAACTTAGGCGCCTTGTTATTTCCTTGCCGAGCTGGTTGTTTGCTGAAAATAAAAAGGGAACATTAAATTTATGACTAGCTTACTCGTGCAACTGGCCTCTAAATGGAGTTAAAAATAGTAAAATATAGCTTATGTTACTCAGATAACATAGCTTTTTATTAGTACAAGAATTTCTCAAATCGGCCCAGTAGTTTTTTTGTTATTTCAATACATTAGACAACTTATTTAATTGATACTGTCGCTTTTAACTCAGAGCAATACTTCTCGTCAAGACTCAAGTTACGCGCCAATCTATCTATACTTCTAGTGACATTGACAGCTGTCAGCTAGGGACGTGACGTTTATGCCGATAATCTAGAGTTGTGCCAATTCTACAGCACGGTACTAATTTTGTTCCTCACAATACATACAAAATTACAAATGTTTCTTTATAATATGACTAGCTTTTCGCGACTTCATTCGCATGAAATTATGAAAATTGTTTATTTGATTGAATTTGACAAATTCAAATGCAAATGTCTGCCTTCTTGCAGAGGGTATTGTTATAGGCCCCCGAGTATAATATATAAAAATCAAGCATTACAAAATAAAAATTAAATTTAGTCAGATTTTTGGCAACTTTAAATCGCCTGTCTTCGAAAACGGCCCACGGAAATTGTCTGCCAATATTTGTTTAGTAATTCTTACAGTGGTCTCCAACACATATGTGAAAATCAGCTTTGTGAAAATAAGTGAACTTAGGTGTGTTTTTTACAGAGCGTGATAGCCCGTAACTGCCCCATTTGACAAGATAACTAATGGCCATTCAGTTACATCACAAACGAGTACTATCGAATCAGATAACTGTAAAGTTTTAGAATTTAGGTGTCGTCATCCTGCTCTGGGATCTCAATCTAAAAGAATAAAAATCGAAAATCGATAAGATTCATGACTGATTACACAACCCATCCCTACTAAATTTGAAATGAATTGTCAAACTAATCTAAATTATTTAGACACACTATAGTGTCCAAAAGCAGACAGGAATCAAAGTGAAAATAAACTGTGCGTTAGTTTGGTCTAAGATTTACCTGGGTCTATTTCTATTAGCGTGTCTCTGTTCCTGGACGCAACATAATAATATTCTTCTCTTCGTATATTCGCAGAATGTTGGTCTTCTTCCACGCTTACTGGAAATTAAATTCATTTGAAAAATTTCCCAAGATTTAGGACCTCTCCCACAATTGTAAATTTTCGGATAACAATCCAACGTAAGATGCTCGCGACTTCCCGTGTGAAATTACAAATATAACCTATTACGTTCGCCCTTTTTCTCAACCTATTACCAAAAGTATTTATTTAGTACGTAATAACAGAAATCTACCGATGCAAGATTCCAAATTTCTAAGCCCGGTAGCTTGTAAGCTGATTTTTCGGTTACACTTATTGTTTGTGTTCGCGATATCTTCTAAACTATTAGTCCAATTTAAATACTGTAAAGGACAATTTTATTCTACATTAAATTCTCCTGATAACAAACGCATTTATTTGGATAAGCATTAATATTGAAACGAATAAAAGAACGCTGCAAAAAGTGCTTTAATTCATTTTGTAAACATAAAAGTGGTTATTGTAAAAAAACCGTTAAAGATAGATATATGCCATTGCGGACTTTTTTGTAGAACTTTTTGAGGTCTACAATTCTTTCATACATCATTTTTATATACCTCTATTAAGGGCAACGCATCTGCAATTACGCGTGTATACATATGTAGAGTTCGCATTTCGGCGTATCCAGGCCTCTTGCTCGTTTGCCACCTTATATTATTAAAAGTTTCCCCGACTGTATTTTAGAAAACCGTAATCCGTTAGTTACAAGTAATTACAGAAAGTATGTATGGATTGCAAAGAGGATATATAAATGTGGATTATGTGAATGCAGTTCCAGTGCGGCTTCATCCGCATGAAATTATAAAAACTTTATTTTATTGTTTACATTTGTCAAATTCTCAATAGCAAATGTCAAAATTACCGTTACCATAACCTTGCTTCCTTAATGTTGGCAGTTCGAAATTTATAGCCCCTTTCCCAGGTGATTTTTTTCGAATTTATTAACCCACTAGGTTTAATAGTGTAAAAATATATAGCCTAAAGCGTGTCGGAAGTGTAGGGCTTTTTATTAAAGAAAGAATTATTCAAAAATATACTGTAACTAGCTGTTACAGTGCGGCTTCATCCGAGTAAAATTATGAAAGTGTTTTCATGTGTTAAATTATCAGTTGCAAATGTCAAAATGATATGAAATGACAAACCATTGCAACCTTGCTTTCTTGATGTTGGCAATAACTTATGGTCTCTTTCCTACATTAGAATTTTTATCCAAAATATTTACCCCTAAGTTTAACGGCGTAAAAATATATAGCCTAAAGCGTATTGCAAGTGTAGGGCTTTTAATTAAAAAAAAAGAGTTATTCGAAAATATGCTTCGATTGCTAACATCTTAGGCAACAAAGAAGTGTGTGTTTACGCTTTATTTTATTAGTATAAAAGTATAGATAAATTGATCACTTACAAAAAATTATCATTTGCGGAATGACAATTTTGCGGCTGTAAACATCGTCCTGCTTTCTTACTCGTCTTGTCAACACAATTTTGACCTTCTGTGGAAAAATAATCGTTAATCTATGGTCAAAGAGTAACTGTCATTTCGGTTCCTACGTAAACTATCGTATGTAACGCGAACAAAAATCTTTTAAACAATTCAGACCATGAAATATGAACATATAAGAAACAATAAATACTTAAGTCTTGTCCCACTACTGGCTGATAGATTCAGATATTTTAAAGATGACGTCACTATCAGATAAGGTAACAAAATCCGATGTTTCTATCGCTTTACACGTTGGATTAGACAGTATGCAATATGCATATGACGCCAAATTGTACCATTTTTTTAAGTATACTTTATTACTATAAAAACATTCCTGCAAAGATTTTTTAAATATAATGTGATTTAGTGGCGAAATTTAATTATTAAAAGGTGTCTTTTTTCAAATTCCCTCGCTAAGTTCTAAACCGCACACTATTGGTCGAAGCAAGTGGCTTATCTAATATGTCGTCGCTGTGTTGACAATATACAATTCATTTACGTTAGTTTATATAGAAATACACTCTTGAAGTATTTTACTGTAAACACGATATTAAAACCAACTTTAAAATAAAAAAAATAATAAATAGAATTATTAATCACCACTTATTTGTACCAGGAATAATAAAAATGAATCGATTTTTGACTTTTTGACCTTGAGAAACTTTGTTGTGTTTTACGTCGAAGTGACATCTGAGCGTATGTTATGAATGAAATAGACGATTGACGTCATCGTCTCATGACAACTCCGGTCGCGTGTTAGTCGCTTGGAAATGGTCGTAATTTTATTTAATTATTTTTAACTAAATGGTTGAATATTTTCGCGTCAATTTTTTTTGTGGTTATTTTATAACAAGTAGAATCGGAGAAAAAAATACATGCATATTCTCTATTTACGATTTAGTGGGACAGGCCCTTAATCTTCTTTCTAACGTTACTTTTATAAACAGAATAAAAGCGTGTGCACATTTGACGAAACTATCGCAAAACTGTTGTGATTGTCGATTATTTCGCAGTCAACTGTTTAGTCGGACAACTGAACATCGAGTAGTGTGTCCATATAAGCTAGGAATCATAGCGAGACTTAACAATTGTCCGATTGATCCAAAGATATGCGCACGCTTCAAGTATTTATCAAGTTAATTTAAGATAACTTAAAATAATAAGAATGTATCTCAAATGTATCTTAAGTCTCCTAGCTAGAAGTCTTATTGTGATTTCATTACATTCCAAATTGCTTTAAAAATACACTAGCTTTCGCCAGCGACTCCGTTCACGTGGAATTGAAAAAATAAAAATAAATAGCCTATGTGTTCTTCCAGACTATCTTCTACATCTATACCAAATTTCATCGAAATCCGTTCAGCAGTTTAGGCTACAAACTCTAACACACATCCATCCATCTATCCATCCATCTATCCATCCATCCATCTAAACTTTCGCATTTATAATATTAGTAAGAAGTAAGATTAACTAGTAAGTTTCTTTTCTTTTTAGAAATATAATTCTTTGAGCATTATTTAAATTTTACTAACATTTTATAGTAAATTTGGATGGATGTTTGTTAGAGTTTGTAGCCTAAACTGCTGAACGGATCTCGATGTTTGCCATAGATTAGACTATGTTCTTAGATTTGTATCCACGCGAACAGAATTTCGAGGAAAAGGCAGACAATCAAAAATATGTTTTTACTAGCTTTCGCGCGCGACTCCGTCCGCGTGGAATTATAAAAAAACAAAAGCGAGTAGCCCATGTGTTCTTGAGTATTCTCTACGTGTATGCCAAATTTCACCGAGATCCGTTCAGTCGTTTAGGCTACAAACTCTAACAAACATCCATCTAAACTTTCGCATTTATAATATTAGTAAGATTGTAATTAAAAAAATATGCACTTAAAAAACTTACCTCTAACTTGGCAATCGATATTCTGTACCCATAGGAGTAATGTAATTACAGCAACATATTTCATATTTACTGTCTTTTTTTTAATTTCTGTAACAATAAAAAATATATATATAACAGTGGTAGAGCCCGCTTTAACATCTTCGCACGCGTGGGTCACCCCCAGCAATATACTACACAGACAGGCGTAATAGGAAGCAATTCCGCGTACAATCTGATCATTGTAGTGCCGGAGGCCCAACTTTAGTCCCTTTTCCGCCCTTTTATGAAGGGAACATGGATTTGACAGTGGAGGAGACGATAGGATGAGGATATATCCTCTTCTAATGCGTCTCCTTCGTCGATGTAAGGTAGGCAACGCATACGCTATTGCGAACGTCTATAGGCAGTGGTCGCTTCCCCTTTTTGGCGGATTCAGGTGACCACCTTATGATGTTAAAAAAATATCACCAGCTTACTACGTCCACACTGAGGGGCTCAGAGTCCCTAAGTTAGACTAGAACTTCACTGCCCTGCTCGACTTTTTTTTATAAGGGAAGGGAGTAAACGAGCGGCGGGAACACAGAAGTGGTCAACGACGCTCAGACATCCAGAGGAACTATAGATGCGTTGCCGGCCTTTGACGTTGTAGACTCGCTTCCTCTTCTTTTTCTTCTTTCAGACATATCTTTGAATATCTTTACGGATATGTGTACTTCACGTATGTCGGTACGTATGTACATTCGGGGAAACTATCGGTGTTCTAACTTATAAATTACAATCGCTTGAACATTTGGAAACGAGACGCGGAACAAAAATAAATACATAGCTTATAAATGTCTATAAACAAGTCTGGTAATTTGTATCTCTACGTTTCGAGCGTCGGTGGCTCGATATGTACATTATACCCGACGTTCTTACGGTGAAGGAAAACATCGTGATGCACATATCTGTGTGGAAATTCAAAGATATGTGTGAAGTAGCGCAGTGTAGGTTGACTATGGCCTTTTTTTTCCGAAGGTGAATGCTTTCTGCATACTCCATGCCTCGGGGCAGACACGTGAGTTATGTGGGACTCTCCCCCCCATAGTGGGGGGCATACCGCACTAAACCCCTTCGTTCCCTCCTGGCCATTGTGTGGGGCGCCACGGGATCGCTTGCGCTTGCCACCGCGACGCCCCACTGACCGCCCCGGGAAGGGGCCCTCGGTGCGTCCCAACGAGTTGGGACGCTGCACCTTAAGGCGCTCCTCGGAAGACGGCACCGTGCAATGCGGGCTCGGAGACCCCGCCTCGCCCGCTGGTGCCGCCAGAGGTTGACTATGGCCTCGCCTAACTTAAGGTATACTCCGAGCCCCTCAATCGGCGTCCTACACAATGGCCAGGAGGGAACAGAGGGGTTTAGGTATGCACCATTATAGGGAGAGGCCCACATAACACTCGTGTCTGCCCCGAGGCACGGAGTATGCATAAGGAATTCCCCTTTTAAAAAAAGACTCCGAGCCCCTCGGTGAGGACGTAAAGTGAGCAAGTGATTCGTTTGCATTCACTGCAATCTAACTAATCTATACTATTATAATAAAGGGTAAACACACACTTATTTGTAGCCTAAGATGTCAGCAATTACAGCATGTTTGCGCCGTTTCTGCCGCACCCTAACAGATGGCGCTGTAGCGAGACATTATTTTACTGTATCGCGATGTTTAGTCTCATGTCTCGCTACACATATACTTCCTGCGGTTCGCAGGTGTCTTTGGTGGTTGTCATTGTCATTGCGTTTGTTGGTTTGGTATTGTCGTTGCGTTGTAAAGGTCTTTTGTCGTTTTGGTCGAGTCGTCCAATTTTTGGACAAGGTTACGTAGGAGTAGACGTGAGCGTTATTTCACGTCACTAGTTACAATCACCTGTGACGAGATATGTAACGACGTCACTAGCTTCGAGTCAAATTAAAAG